ACTTCACCTGTTCTTGGACCAACAATACTCTTGAACCATGAAAATACATTCTGATTTCATCTGTCACAAGCTTCTTGAAAATTCGAGTAATTTAGTTCTTATCAATTTGTTAGAAAAGCTTTTTATGTCAAAGAAAACAATTTATGTGTCACAAGCTTCTTGAAAATTCATTGCTTATAAAAAGATAAGAAAAATACCATTGGAGTCCTTTCCCATTTCTCCCCTTTCCACATCAGTTCCAATGGTGGGACAAGAATATGTATTTGGTTCCAAGAGAGTGTAACAAGAATATGTATTTGGTGCAAATAATTGTTACATATGCTCTGTTTCACGGGCAAGAACAAAAGAAAGATAATAGTTTTATAGAATAAAAGCAGATTTTAGCTTTTATGTATAAATGATTTTTCATGTCCAATAATGGATACAATTTTTTTTATTTATAGCTCTATTCAGCGAGACAAGATCCTCATATTAAACTCTTCTTTAATATGAATAAAACCTTTCTTGATGGCTGCATAATACTTGAGCATTAATACAATGCTTCTTTGTAATGACTGCTAATTGAATGCTGTATTATCCAATCGATGTCTTTTTTTTCAAACCTTTGTTCTCGGCCCCTTCGGAACTTATCCAGCATCGGTCACATATTTGTATCCAGTGCCAACTATTTGCTGACTCATATCTTACCCGTTTTCAGTTCCACGTATCATCTCGTCGTTTATTCACGTATCGTTAATCAATTTTAACCCATACCAAACCAACTTGTTGTATTTATTTCCTTGTAAGTGAACTGAGCCATTGTAGATGAGTGAAAAAGTTTAACAAAACTAGCAAGTTGTATTTTTTTGTTTTCTATTTCCCAAAAATTAAATATTATAAGAAAAATAGTACTTAATAGTTTACTAAAACGTTAAAGAGGTCACAAATCGCAGTTTCATTTTGATATTTGATTGATCGGTCCGTTTTTTTTTTTGGGAAAATTCCAAGGAAACCTGCGGTCGCTATTCGTTAAGTGCGTACTAGGTAACTTGCTCACCGTGCAATAGCTAGCAAACCATGTATGACATGCAAACCGCATCAGACAAGCCCGGTGCGACGAGCTTTTATTGAGGAGACTGCTGAGGGGAATCGATCATAGGTCTCCCATGTGGGAAACCACTCACCCAACCAATTTAGCCAACACTTGCGGGCTTGATCAGTCCGTCTTCTCCTTGTGGATTCTATAAGGTCACTTGTCGAAACCAGCAGAGGAATAGGGACTAGATATAACTGTTTGGTTTAAGCTTGGTTTAGCTTAAAATAAAGTGAATGGGAAACGGAGGAAAAAATAAAATATTTGAACTTCCCGCTTTGACAAAGGGACACTGTCCCATATTGGAGGAGGAAAAGAGTTTTGATGGGTATATATACAATTGCTCTTCTTCTAGCTCTTAAAGAGTTGAGAAGAAGGCAAGCCTCGCACTGCCGTCGTTGCTCGCTCGACAATATTATTTTACGTTTTTTTTAACGGTAAATTAATTTTCCTCCACGTTTGATTTTTCCGTTTTATTTTGCGTAAATAGCCATTTACGTAATGGCCGTTTTACGCGAACAATCATCCTGAAGAGTTGCACCTCTTCGTTTGCACCCAACCGATTGGTTATAAATATCAGGCTACTCCCTCAGGTTTTCCTTACAAAAATTCTGATTTCTCCTTCTTCCTTCTGCATTGTTTTTTAACAGAAAGAAAATAGTAAGTGTGATTTGCTAGTGGTCTTTGAGTTGGTTGGTAACTGGGGTTTGAAGTAACACTACACCAGTGAAGGTAATAATCCGTTCTATCTTGGGAGGAAATAATCCTAAACCTCAGGTACTAGAAGGGGATTAAGTTCCTTAAGAAAATACTGTTAATTCAGTGGGCTCGAATTAATTTCTATTCTTCTGCATTTCTAAATTTTCATTGCTACTGATTTTTAAATATATATTCGAATACAGAATACTAACAAGAACAGTACGACCTATGATAGTAACTAAATTTATCAGTTGTGGATACTTAGAAATGCCACTTTGTCAACTAACGCTGTGATGACCCAACCCGTGGTCTCATGTATTACAGCCCCGTTTCCCCTATTTATTGCTCTTTCATGTTTTATTATCAGCAACGGGTGAGTTAGAGTTTAATTGAATTGGTTTGGATAGGAAATGAGACACTTAGTCTCTTTAGGGAAGGTTTGGTTTGGAAAAGTCAACCGAACATTGACTTATTAGTTAGAAGGCTCGGATGTGAATTCCGGTGATTTGGTTAGCTTCGGGAGGTGATTTGTGACTTAGGAGTGCGATCGGAAGTGATTTCGGAGGTCCGGAGTAGAATTAGGCTTGAATTGGCAAAGTTGGCATTTTGGCGAATTCCGGTGGATAGGTGAGATTTTGATCCGAGGGTCGGAATGGAATTCCGAGGGTTGCAGTAGCTCCGTTAGGTGATTTTGGATATGTGTGCAAAATTTCAGGTCATTCGGAGGTGTTTTGGTCTGGTTTTTGATCGAATGCGTAATTCGGAAGTTTTTAAGAAACTTAGGCTTGAATTCGATGTGATTTGATGGTTTTAGCGTTGTTTAATGTGTTTTAAAGATTGAAACAAGTTTGAATAAGGTATTAGGATGTGTTGGTATTTTTGGTTGAGGTCCCGGGGGCCTCGGGGTGAATTCGGGTGGTTAAACGAGCGTTTTGAGGTGTGTTGCAGGTTCAGTTTTTCTGTCATCTGGTATTTCCGCTTTTGCGGAAATGGACCGCAGAAGCGGTTCCACAGAAGCGGGTAAAGGAGCGCAGAAGCGGTTCCGCAGAAGCGGGTAAAGGAGCGCAGAAGCGGTTCGTAGCCTGGTGGAGTGTTTCCGCAAAAGCGGAACATTTTTCGCAAATGCGAGTCCGCAGAAGCGGACTATAAACCGCAGAAGCGGTCTTGAGTGGTTCGCAGAAGCGGATAGGGAGACGCAAAAGCGGACGTTGGGCTTTTAAGTGAAGACCGCATAAGCGGAATTTTGGCCGCAGAAGCGGTCCCGCATAAGCGGAAGCGGGACCGCATAAGCGAAAATCGGTGTTGGCAGAAGGGTTTAAAATATTAAATTTCATCCGCGAACAAGAGGTAGTTTCCACCATTTTTAAGCGACTTGGAGAGCTTTGGGCGAGGATTTTCGAGGGTTTTGACTGAGAATCAATTGGAGGTAAGTCTCTTGGCCTAATTATTCGAGTTTATGGTAGAAATTACATGTAAATTGTGGAAAATTCATCAAAAACGGGTCAAGTTAGGGCTTGGAAAGCTGTGATGTAAAAATGGATTTTGAAAGGGCATTTGAACTCCGATTTTGGTAAAATTGGTATGTGTAGACTCGTGGCGAGACGAGGAATCCAGTGACGTAAATTTTGTAATTTTTCGAGAAGTGGGCCCGGGGCTCGGGTTTTGCCAACTTCGTGAATTTTGGTGTTTTTCGAGTTTTTTCGATTGGGTTATGTTTCTTTAGCCTATTGTAATGTATTCGTTGTGGTTTTAATCAGATTCGGCGTGCGAAGAGGTTGATTCGAAAGGCAAAGGCATAGCGAGCTAGACTTGTGGCCGGCTTGAGGTGAGTAATAGATGTAGATGATGACCTGAGGGTTTGAAACCCCGGTATATCACACTGTGACGCTATATTGAGGCGAGACACGTACTCTATGACGAGTGCGGGGTCGATTGTGACTGGGGATTTTGACCTAGTCTGTTTCGATTGATGTTCGTACTGTGTTCTTGACTAGAAATTGTTTGGTAATCATCCTACTTGGATTTTTTGAATGTGTTTGGGGCTTTGTGCCTATCATTTGCATCCTTCAGGGATCCTTATCACTGCTTTCATGATGCTTAGCATATTTCATGATATCAGTCCTGAGTTAGACACTGCCTCGAAATGGTTAGTAAATAAATAAAGGTTTAAACACTTAGCTCTAAAATTCCTAATAATTGACAATAAAATGAATAATTTGACTGTGCCCGATTGGCTTGCATGCATATATATACCTGGACTGAGTGTGGATCGGGCTGCACGCCGCAGCGAATGTTACGATGATATTGCGCTTGGGCTGTAGGAGCCCCTCCGGAGTCTGAACCCCCACAGTGAGCGCGGGTACCCAAATGGATCGGGCTGTGCGCCGCAGCGGTCATGTGCATTGCATTGCATCCATGCATTTATACCTAAGTGTCTTATTTGTCCTGATATTGTTGTTGTTTCGTCGTTTTATGTGCTGAATCGCTGATATAGCTTTATATTGTAATATTTCGGAATTTCTTACTTTCAGCAATTATATATGTTTATTACTCACTGAGTTGGAAGTACTCACTTTACTCCCTGCACCATGTGTGCAGATTCAGGTGCTCCGGAGACTTAGTGGAGCTGTTTGCTGTCTTCTTGGATTTCGGTTTAGGAGTTGTTGAGGTAGCTGCCTGACGTCCGCAGGACCCGACTTCTCCCCTTTATTGCATTTGTCTTTCCCTATCCTAGACTTTCTTTATTACTATGAATATATTACTCTGTTACATTTAGAGGCTCTAGACTCGTGACTCCAGATCTATTGGGGGAATGTTTGGTGTATTCGCTATTATTTTTCGTACTATTTTATCTAGTTCCGGATTGGAAACTTGATATTTACTATTTTAATCGTATTATTTGTTAACGGATTGCGAATTTGGGTTGAGAGTATTTAATTGGTCGGGCTTGCCTAGCATTAGTGTTGGGCGCCATCACGACCGGGATTGGGGTCGTGACAAACGCAAAGGAACTGAATTGACGTAGGCTAACAAATAAACCTTCAATTTGTTTTTGCAAGGATCTTAGACAATCTTTTACTAAAAGCACTAAACTAGTCTATCAAAAACCGGAGTAACAAAAGAGAACTAGAAGGACCTCCAAAAATTGAAGGGGAAACAGATGCAGACTAGAGAACTAAACATAGCTGAACTAATATGCCCATTCAAATTGAAAGAGATTATACAAAAATTCATATGCAAACATAATAAGTAGTAACTACTAGTTCATAGTACAGTAGCGGCAATAAGCAAAGCCACAGCATCAAACTAACATCAACCAAACTGATAAACCATCTTGGGTTTTCCTCATAAAAGTTCATTTAAAGTAATAAAAGGCATAGAACTAGCTATATATTCATCATTCTAAATTGAAGAATACGAGATACTATTAATTGATCCGTGCATCTCTCTTATTACTTTTATGTATCCCATGTTCTTCGTAAACAATTTGATCCTTAATTCTATGGTTAAATCCGAATCTGTGGGAAGTCTTGGTTTGGAAAGTCAGTAGGAAGATCTCCCATCGCCCTCCGTGATCACATCCTTGAAAGCAGCACCACTTGGAATCATAGGTAAAACATGTTCCTGGTGAGGTGTAATCACATCCAACAAGTAAGGTCCGGGAGTGTCTAACATTTTCTGAATGGCAGCTCTAACATCAGTCTTTTTTGTCACCCGAGCAGCAGGTATATCACAAGCTTCCACGAATTTCAACATATCAGGAAAAATCTCAGCCTCATTTGAAGGATTTCCAAGATAAGTGTGTGCTCTATTAGCCTTATAGAATCTATCCTCCCACTGAACCACCATTCCCAAGTGTTGATTATTCAGAATCATCATCTTAACAGGAAGATTCTCCGCTCTAATTGTTGCTAATTCTTGCACGTTCATCATGAAACTTCCATCGCCGTCAATGTCCACCACAATTGCATCTGGTCGTGCAACAACTGCTCCAATCGCAGCAGGCAATCCAAATCCCATTGCACCTAATCCACCAGAAGTCAACCATTGCCTTGGGTTTTTGTACTTATAATATTGAGCAGCCCACATCTGGTGTTGGCCTACACCAGTACTTATTATGGCATTCCCATTAGTTAATTCGTCAAGGACCTGAATTGCATATTGTGGAGGAATGGCTTCACCAAAAGTTTTATACTTCAAAGGGTACTTTAATTTTTGCTCTGTCAACTCTTCCGTCCAAGGAGAGAAATTCAGCTTCAGGTTACCTATTTCGCGCTCCAATATTGAATTCAAACCCTGTAATGCTAACTTAATATCTGTACAAATGGATACATGAGGTAGCTTGTTCTTTCCAATCTCGGCAGCATCAATATCAATATGAACAATCTTTGCTCGGCTTGCAAAAGCTTCTAATTTACCCGTGACACGGTCATCAAACCTCACTCCAAATGCTAGCAGCAGATCACTAGTATCCACAGCATAGTTAGAATAAACAGTACCATGCATCCCTAGCATTTGAAGTGAAAGTTCATCCCCTGTTGGAAATGCTCCTAAACCCATCAAAGTACTGGCCACCGGAATACCTGTACAACAACAACAACACAATAATTACGCCTCAATTCTATACAAACACTTATTATCGCTCCATTTCAAATCAATATAATACAAAATAAAAGTACTGGAAGTTATCTATATTTTCTATTGGCTGCTGGAATACCTGTGAGTTCCACAAAACGCGTTAACTCCTTGCTTGATTGTAAACAACCCCCACCAACATATAAAACTGGCCTCTTCGATTCAGAAATTAGTCTAACAATTTGCTCCAAAAGCATCTTATTCGGTGGATCAGGAAATCTGGAAATGTAACCTCGCAACTTCATCGGCTGATCCCAGTTGGGAATCACCATTTGTTGCTGAACATCTTTAGGAACATCAATTAAAACCGGTCCAGGTCGGCCTGATCGTGCTAGATAAAACGCTTCGCGCACAATCCTGGGTATATCATTGACGTTCATAACAAGATAATTATGCTTGGTAATTGATCTTGTTACCTCAACTATTGGAGTTTCTTGAAATGCGTCAGTCCCAATCATCATACGAGGTACTTGACCTGTAATAACAAGATTTTCAGCAATGACGAAATGTTAATTATAACTTTTCAACGACGCTAGTTGGAAAACTATAAAAAAGTTAGAAATATTTTTCTCTTTTGAAAACTGGGAATAGTTACAGCTTGTTTGGATGGTTGTTACGCATCGTTTCATAATGAATCATGTCGTACTGTATTGTATTGTATGTATCGTTTGATAAATACAATGTTTGGATAGATTGTGTCGTTTGCCATCGTTCCATGATATCACGCACCAGCAATATGAAGAATAAACTTGCAATATTATAAAGAAAAATTATGATACAAGATAAAATTACTATATAAAAAGGTAAGGTAAATAATAAAATAATATAATTTAATAATAATAAAGGGCGAGATTGAGAGAAAAAGACAAGGTAACGACGCGACCACACCAAATCGGTCGTTACATAAAGTGGCACATTTCGTCGTTATGTAACGACGGATTTAACGATACGATACAATAAAATTAAAGTAACAATCAAAATAAACATTGTATTTAAAGTAACAATATGATACAATACAATGGGTAACAACCATCCAGATTTGTTTATGTACTATGCAATTACTCAATTTCATCCTCTTCCATTCATATTTTTTTCTGTTTGCAAATCGTAGGTCCAAATTTACCCCAAATACTTTTAAGTATGGTTTTTAAAATTACTTGGATAATAATAGTGTTTAGCAAAAAGTGTTGATAAATACTTTTATCTGTTAAAATGACATAAATGCCTTGAAAGCTTGTTTACATTAATAAGGACGTGATTATTATAAGATTTTAAACTTCAGATTGCTTCTAATAATAAATTGTCTCATTTATAATAAAAACCAAATTAAATAATTTCAATTTTATAAATATAAATTATTTTATGATAAGCTAAACTACAATCATAAGCTATAACAATAGTATTTGTTTTGTTCATTGGTGTTTCACTGCCAAAAGTTGTTATGGAATAAAGAATAAATACTCGTCAGTTCATACTTGGATACAAAATAGAAAAAATTTAATAACCTGGGTTACATGTTGCTGCAAAATCCAACGATGTTGTCTCTTATAAACAAAACGCAAAATCTTAAAACGCAAACGAATCTTATAAAAGAGAACTTTCTTATCCCAATCAATTTGCTTGCTTTCGATTTAGAATAACTTCCCTATAGACCTGGATTGCTCGACGTGGGCCGAATATGCTGCAGGGTTTTGGAAGAATTGTGTACAAGGTGAGGAGTGAAGTCATGGCGAGAGTTTTATTCCAGTACGGGTATTATTGGGAATTAAGAAAAATATTAGGAATAGCATAATAAAAACTTTGGTTAGTGTTTATAAGCCGAAAAAGCATAGGGGTGACCAAATTATGACTTACCAACTTGTTAAACCCAACCCAGTCGTGATGACGCCTCTTGTGAAGACAAGGCCAGCCGACACACCTCCAATTCACTTTAAGCAATTAAAATAATAACTACTAAGTCTTTAATCAGAATTAAAATCCCAAAATAAGCATTTAACAGTATAATTTGCGGAAATAAAAACCAACGCAGCCCGACATCGGGGTGTCATCAGTCATGAGCATCTAAAACAATACTACAAATCTGAAAGTTTACTCCACTACTAAATAACTGAATCAGAAAGGAAATAAGATAGAGGGAGGTTGCACTGGGCTGCGAATTGCCAAGCAGCTACCTAGTAAACCTCCGAAGATCTGCTGGAACTATCCACCCTCAGTGAGCGCGGGTACCCATTGTGATATGAGATATAGCCCGAGGGGCTGGTATTGTTCTGTGATATTGCCCGAGAGGTTGATACTGATGATTAATGTGCCCGAGGGGCAGTTCTTATGTGTTTACTATTCCTAGTTGTTTTCCCTATATATTGTTTAACTGCTTAAGAAGGTGTTTTATGAGATCTTTTTTTTAATTAAACTTTACCAAACACATAAAAAGTGTTAATAAACTAGTTTAACCAGTTTATAAACTTAGCCGCTAAACACCCTCAAAATTGTTCAATTGCGGACAAATTTGAGCATTTGTTTCAAAGTTATTTTAATATTTAGACAGCAAGATGGAGCAAAAATTATTGAGAAAATGACCTGTAATAGCAACAATTGGAACACTATCAAGGAGAGCATCAGCAAGACCGCTAACAAGATTAGTAGCGCCGGGGCCAGAGGTGGCCATACAAACACCAGGGAAACCAGTGGCGCGTGCGTATCCCTCAGCAGCGAAAATACCGCCCTGTTCATGACGTGGCAATACATTTCGGATGGTTCGAGAACGGGTGAGAGCCTGGTGAATTTCCATTGAAGTACCACCAGGGTAAGCAAATACATTGGTGACGCCTTCACGTTCGAGCGCTTCAACCAGAACATCACATCCTTTTCTAGGTTCATCAGGGGCAAATCGGGAAATAAATGTCTCGACAGTTGGAGCAATATTTGGGGTTATTGAGAGAGCGTTGGTGATGGTAAAACAGCGGTTGCTGAGGGTAAGAGGACAAGAGGTTTTATGTGGAAATGAAGTTTGTGGAAAAGGGAAGAAGGTTCTGGAAAGAAGCTTAGGAGAAGAAGTAAGAGGGTTGCTATAGAAAGCGGAAGAAGAAGGAGTTGGAGAAGCTGCCGCCATTGTTAAGGGACAAATGCATGAAGTTAAGAGAGGTCAGTTATCACAGCTGAGATTTATAATTTGAGAGTCCAGTTTATATTATACTAAATGGAATGTTGATAATTAAGACGCTAGCATAGGGTGCATCACGAGACTCAAAAGAGAACGAAAAGCATTAGAGAGCAAACGATTTTTATTACTACAGTATAACTGAAATACTATTTAAAAATCGTAATAAAAGAAAAAGTTGACTTTAATTTGATGCAGGTCCAATGAATTTAGGCAGGAAAGTGATAAAAATAGCGGCGTAACATCAACTCGATGAGCCACGTCAAGGATTCAGGTTGTACTATAATGGGTAGCCGTCAACAGGAGTAGTAGCTTATTAACAAACTGCAAATTTAGAGGTACCGCTTTCTGCAGCCAACATTTACACTGTTTCTGCCAACTTTTAGCTAACTTCTTCCAACTTCTAGAAACTAACTTCTACAGATCATCACGATCTCCATTTGATGAACGCCGTATAATTCAGTTTCATTAGTGCATCAATCAGGAAAAGAAATTTTTATAGACACGATGTTTGCACTTTGCACCACAACGTCAATACGCTTGTCTTGAGCCGAGAATTTGGAAATAACGTCTCTGTGTGCCCAAGGTATATAGGGGTAAGGCATTGTATGGGGTAAAACTAGTTTACAATATATGGTCGAATGGTAGCATGACATGTGGAACCGAAGGTAAGAAAAAGGCAAGTCAGATAACGAACAATACCGAACACAACAAATGTAATCGACACCGGGTAAATCCCGAAGGGAGCATCTTTAACGGAAGGAGTTCAAGGGTTTGCCATTGTATAACATTCAATAAGGGAATATTCTCTAGCATTAAATGAGTGGGGAATATTCAACATAGAGGTTACGAGAATTGTCCCAACATGATGATTCAATTAGCGACACCCATAACGAAGGTGATGAAGCAATCCCGGTTCGTGAAGAACGGTACCCTCGGTTATGTGCGGGAGCTAACTCCTGATGATGCGGAGGAACATGTCGTGGAAAGAGCGAAAATCTTAAGAGAACAACAAAAAGCAATCATGAAACACCTCTCAAGAAAAGATCGGTGATGACAGAGTTGAAATAAGCTTTGTCAAGCGCCTCCAATAACGCGAACCGAAGGGGCCCGTCTCCTCCCAGTGCTCCTGCAAACCAAACGACTCAGAGGGTCGACAACAACACCCCAAGAGGCGAGGATGGTTTCGACGAAGCCGGAGGGATCGATAGTAGACCTGGAAACAACAACGGGAATGATCCCTTCAAAACCGAGCTCATGAGGTTTATGAGGGAAATAAACAAACGAATAGATCAAAATGCGAAGGAGTTTCATGCCCGAATGGATCAGATTCCGGGCGCACCACCAGTTCTGTATGGCCCAAATTCAAAAAAATACACTCAATTGCCGTTTAAATCGAGCGCAACACCAGAGTTAATTCCGAAGAAGTTCAAGATGCCAGACTTACCAAAATACGATGGGACTTCGGATCTGCAGGAACACATCACAACCTACACCATGATTGTGAAAGGGAACAAATTGGCTCAACATGAGATCGAGTCGGTCTTACTGAAGAAGTTTGGTGAAACCCTCACAAAGGTGGCCTTGGCGTGGTATTCTCTTTTACCTGAGCATTCAATTGACACTTTTGATATGCCTTCAGATTCATTCATTAAGGCCCGTGTCGGGGCGAGGAAGGTCCAATCGAGGAAGGTGGACATATTTAGGATTGCACAAGGTGAGTCCGAATTGCTGCGAGAATTCATGATCCGGTTCCAGAAAGAGAGGATGTTGTTACCAGTTGTAACAGATAAGTGGGTAGCGGAGGCGTTCACAAAGGGTTTGAATCTACGGAGCTCCGACGCCTCCTGAAAGTTCAAGGAAAGCCTGCTCGAATTCCAAGCAACCACATGGGCGGATATCCATAACCGTTATGAGTCAAAAAAAAGGATAGAGGACGATTAGCTCGGGTTCTCGGTGTCAACCAAGGGACGGGATCGATAAAAAAACCAAGATAAAGTTAAAAGTGACTTTGATATAGATTGGCGGTCTTCTAGAGGTCGTTTTTTACCATATGAAAGAACCGAAGGTAGGAACAACAAAGGGTTTCGGTCGATGGATAGGTTTGTTCCCGATAGAAGAACCGATGGGGGCCGTAGTAGCAGATCATTATAAGAGAAGGAGATACAAGGGGCTCGAGACCCTATATATCCCAGGTTATCAGATTACAACTTCAACATGAGCTTAGTTGAGTTGGTATTCGTGATAAGGGATATCAAAGAAGCACGGTTCCCGAAGCCAATTCGGCCCGATCCTAGCTAGAGGGATCCCAATTTGTGGTGTGAATATCATGAGACTCACGGCCGTAGAACTGGGGACTGTCGGCGTCTACGTGAAGATGTGGCAACATTGTTGAAGAATGGCCATATCAGAGAATTCTTAAGTTACCGGTCCAAGAACAACTATGGACGAAGCCGAGACAACATCGAGCCTTTAAACGTAGTGGAAGGCTACCCTCCGTTGACTATCAACATGATTTTATGAGGGAACGAATTTAATGGTATGACCTTCTCAGCGGCCAAGAAAACAAAGATATCAGTGACTCACAACAAGAGACTTCGGAAGTCGCAGAAGATGATATCACCTTCACGGAGGAAGATGACGATGGACTCCTCCTGCCACACAACGACGCTTTGCTAACCACTCTCAATGTTTTAGAGTTCAAAATTAAACATGTTTTGGTTGACCTAGGAAGCTCAGTGTCACGACCCAAACCGAAGGGCCGCGACGGGCACCCGGTGCCTTACTCAACCGAGTACCAACGTAACATATCTTTCTTATCATACTATCATGGGTAAATGAGCTAGAAAACCCTTCATGAGATAACAAGAATAAAACATAAGGGAATACTTAACGTATGATGACCCAGCATGATATACAAACTTATACATGTGACATACGGGCCTATAAGGGCGACATGACCATTTGTAAACTCAAAACATAGGCCGACAAGGCCATACAAGTATCCATACACCTGACATCTGTCTACAAGCCTCTAAGAGTACATAAAATCATAAAGGTCGGGACAGGGCCCCGCCATACCAATCAATACATATCCAAAGCATACTGAACAAATAGGCAACTCCGGAGCAAGTGGAGTACACCAATACCTTCGCTGAGCTGATAACCTACTAGGAGGAATTTCAACCTGTCTATCGGGACCTGCGGGCATGAAACGCAGCGTCCCCAAGCAAAAGGAACGTCAATACGAATAAAGTACCGAGTATGTAAGGCAGGAAAGCATAAATAAGAACAGTAATGTAAAGAGAGATAGATGAGATACAACCTGTAACATCTGAGTGCCTCTGGGGGCTACTGACATGAAATGCATAATACATATATATACATAAACTTTTAAAAACATACGCCTCTGTGGGCATCATCATCATCATATCATACCCGGCCTCAAAGAGGACTCGGTAAAAACGTACCCGGCCACGTGGAGCTCGGTAAACCCAACTGATCAGTGGTTGCACAATAGGTGCCATACCCGACCGACTATAGCGCGGCTCGGTAGAGTAAAATAGATACATATATATAATGTATGCTCGACTCATGGAATCAAGTTCTAAACCTTTTGGAGTGACATAAGGTCATTGCACCATCGATTAACATTATGGACATCATACCATCAATATGAACTTCACTAGGACTTAAGGATCATATATACTTTCTTGGGATAACTTTGTAAGGAAAGAATAACATGGACAACCTTAGTTGCTAGGAGTAGATTCATTATGAAATAGCGTATCGTTTATGTTCGTTTCACTTTAGATCATGCCAAAAGGATGAAGGAAGAGCCTTAACATACCTTGTATATACTGCCTCAATCTCAAGCTATGCAATTTTCACGACTCCTTAGTCTACAATAAGAGAAACGATATTGTAGTTATCATTCAAGCGTCATAACTATTATGTATCGACCACAACCTATTTTACGATGAAACGGACAGCACCTTCCCTATATATATATAACTTCACACAATTCCAAACAATCACCAAACAGCCCAAACAACATCAATAATAATCATATTGAGCCTCCCAAAACAGTCCACACACAACCTAATCACTTCATACATACGACGACCACCGTAGTCGTGTCAAACGACCCGGAAATGTTACGAAGAACTACCAGACCACAACCCTACATCTATATGGTGTTTTTCCACATCCTTCCTCCTCCAAAACTCCACAAAACAGTAGTAAAACACGCAGCCCAACAGCAACACAAAACAGTCCACAAAACAGTCCGCTACAAGTGAATAACTCGAACTCACGGCTTCCGATCACCGTCCCGTGAGTTCTTACATGTATAGAACGAATTACCATGAATTCACAGAAGAATAAATGTATGAAAAAGAGCAGTAAACTCACCTTACTTGTTGGATAAACCAGCCCTTCCCTTGGTTCTTCAAACTCTAGGTTTTACCCCCAATTAAAACTTGAAAGAGAGGGAAAATCGATTAGGGTTTGTGGATAATTTTTGGGAGGAAGTTTGCAGGGGTTTAGGTCTGGTTATTTGTGATATATAATGAGGGTTATATTGCAGGAGATAATCCTTTAAATGGGCTCTTTGGCCGACCCGAAATTTCCTATTTTTGGGCTATCATTTAACCAAGTAGGTGACACACCTACTTGTCACCTAGCAGCTTGTGCAGTCTCGCAAAAATGCTTTTATCTCTCTACTCCAATGTCGTATTGATGAACGGTTTAATGCGTTGGAAACTAGACTCATAGATCCTTAATTTGATAGGTAGATCATCCCCTAATTCCATGTATATTGGGAGAAAAACTCAGTTACATTTGACCTAATTTTCAGCACATTTATGAATGGAACTTGTGATGACCTTTTTCCAACTTTTGTTCCACAACTCGCTTGACTTCAAAACATAACACCAACTATCGTACTACTAAAATAACTCATAATATAATCTCCTTATAATGT